GCCTAGAACTTAGAAGAACCATATCAAGTGCCAGCAAAATCACAAATCTCGTTAGCTTTCAACCAGCAAGTCTACCTTTTAGGGGAGTTGTTATAGCCTCTTCCGTGGAGATTTCCTAAAGATTTCAGAGAAGAGGCAAGTCTAAAAGCATAAATAATAAATATAAAGCTGCACTCCTTCAGGATTTCTCCATACAGTGTCTCCTGGGCTCTGCTCCCATTGTTCCTATCTGATTATTGAGAAATATGGGTATTGTAGTCTTATTGAGTTGAGGAAATCTACTCGAAGGACACTGGGTCTCCAGATGTTGTGAATTCCCACCATTCAAACTCTTGACCATTAAGGTGAACATCCTTGGTGGGCCATTGATGGAACGGGAAGGGTCTGTGTTTGTTCTCCCAGAATGATCTGGTTCATACACCCCACGGACCCTCAAAATTTCAATCCTGTATTAGCCCAGTCCAGCAGGTTATATGAACATGCCAAAGCCTCTAAACCTGAGTGACATGGCAGCTGAATAAGAAGTATAGATTGAGGCGTTGTCCTGGTTGACCTCTCAAAGTGAGGATCGCTCTATATTTGTCAACGTTGAGACTTTTAAGATGGGTGGACTTCAACTCCCAGAATTCTCCTAGCTGGTGAATTCTGGGAGTTGAACTCCAACCCATCTTAAAATTCCCAAGGTTGACAAACACTGATCTTAGATACAGGCCAGCCGTGACAATAGCTTCAACATGATGTCCTTCCTAACCCAACAACTTTCCAACTCAACTCTGAGTCTCCTCTTGTCAATGAACACCCATAATTTAGCAACCTCTGGATAGTCTCCATTCTCAACCAGACCACTAGGTCACACCATTTTTTGACCCAGAGAGGACAAGTAATAAAGATTGGATCCCAAGGACCGTCTCGTCCTTGCTGGTCCAACATAGTATTTAAGTAGGACTCTGAACCACGATCCCTACTAGTCAAGGCTAAACTCCAAAGTTGTCCGTGATCTACTGAACTCTGATGGAGTCCAAGCTTTGATCTACCCAGTTCATCCTGGTTTTGCATTCTTACCACCATGTGTGGTCTTGTCCTAGAGGGTTTCTCCCACAAGTGTGTCCCACACCACGTTTTCTCAATGCTTCATGAACAAGTCCTACGAGGAACTTACGCTAGGATCTTCTCTTCCAGGCTGAGCAATGCAGTGGCCTCCAAGGTTTTCTGCTCTTCCATAGCTTCGGAGGAGGCACGGGTTCAGGATTCACCTCTCTCCTGATGGAACGGCTTTCGATGAGTTTTGGGAAGAAAGCTAAGCTAGAGTTCTCCGTGTATCCTGCGCCGCGGATTTCGACCGCAGTGGTGGAACCGTACAACTCCATCCTGACCACTCACACCACCCTGGAGCACTCGGATTGCTCCTTCATGGTGGACAATGAAGCCATCTACGACATCTGCAACCGAAACCTCAACGTTGACTATCCAACCTACATCAACCTCAACCGCTTGATCGGGCAGATTGTGTCCTCCATCACCGCTTCCTTGAGGTTCGACGGAGCTTTAAATGTGGACCTCACCGAATTCCAGACCAACCTGGTGCCATACCCTCGAATCCACTTCCCCTTGACCACGTATGCCCCCATTATCTCGGCCGAAAAGGCCTACCACGAGCAGCTCTCGGTGCCGGAGATCACCAATGCCTGCTTTGAGTTTTCCAACCAGATGGTCAAGTGTGACCCTCGCCGGGGCAAATACATGGCCTGTTGCCTCTTGTACCGGGGAGACGTGGTGCCGAAGGACGTCAACGCGGCCATTGCCGCCATCAAGGCTAGGAGAACCATCCAGTTTGTCGACTGGTGCCCGACCGGCTTCAAGGTGGGCATCAATTATCAGCCACCCACCGTGGTGCCCGGCGGAGACCTGGCCAAGGTGCAGCGGGCCGTCTGCATGCTCAGCAACACCACGGCGATTGCCGAGGCCTGGGCCCGGCTGGACCACAAGTTTGACCTCATGTACGCCAAACGGGCCTTCGTCCACTGGTACATGGGGGAAGGCATGGAGGAAGGCGAGTTTGCCGAAGCTCGGGAAGACCTGGCAGCTCTGGAGAAGGATTATGAAGAAGTTGGAGAAGATACGGGCAGGTACGGATCTGATGCCGAAGATGACCATGAATACTGACTGTTCGGAAGAAAACCACCTTCATTTTCAGGATGGTTTGGCTTCTGCACTAGAAGATCCTGGCCTCGTCAGCCTAACCCGAAAATGCACTCGTAAACCAGCCAACATTGTTACACTTCCTGTAGGAACTTGCTAGGAGCATAGTTTGTTCCTTCCTTTCTAAGCATCTAATAAAGGCAACTTTGCAATTACGCCTTAAGGGTAGTATGTCTTCCAGGCCGGGTTTGTCAATTATGGACTTCAGTTCCCAGAATTCCTGAGCCAGTATGACTGGATGGCCTCTTTATGACTTGTGGACTTCAACTCCCAGAATTCCTGAGCCAGCTGTCACAAGTCATAAAGGGGCCATCCAGCCATATTGGCTCAGGAACTCTGGGAGTTGAAGTCCACAAGTCATGAAGGGGGCCATCCAGCCATACTGGCTCAGGAATTCTGGGAGTAGAAGTTCACAAGTCATGAAGGGGGCCGGCCATCCAGCCATATTGGCTCAGGAATTCTGGGAGTGTAATAGTAGTAAAGTTGGAAGGGACCTTGGAGGTCATCTAGTCCAACCCCCTGCTCGGGCAGGAAACCCTACGCTATTTCGGACAAATGGCTGTCCAGTCTCTTCTTAAAAACTTCAAGTGTTGGAGCATTTACTGCTTCTGGAGGCAAGCTGTTCCACTGATTAATTGTTCTCACTGTCAGGAAGTTTCTCCTTAGTTCTAGATTGCTTCTCTCCTTGATTAGTTTCCACCCGTTGCTTCTTGTCCTGCCTTCAGGTGCTTTGGAAAATAGCTTAATTCCCTCTGCTTTATGGCAGCCCCTGAGATATTGGAATACTGCTATCATGTCCCCCCTTGTCCTTCTCTTCGTTAAACTAGACATACCCAATTCTTGCAACCGTTCCTTATATGTTTTAGCATCCAGTCCCCTAATCATCTTTGTTGCTCTTCTCTGTACTCTTTCTAGAGTCTCAACATCTTTTTTACATCGTGGTGACCAAAACTGGATGCAGTATTCCAAGTGTGGCCTTACAAAGGCATTGAAGAGTGGTATTAATACTTCACGTGATCTTGATTCTATCCCTCTGTTAATGCAGCCTAGCACTGTGTTGGCCTTTTTGGCAGCTGCAGCACACTGCTGGCTCATATTTAGGTGATTGTCTACTAGGACTCCGAGGTCCCTCTCACAGTTACTACTATTGAGCATGGTGCCACCTATGCTGTACTTGTGCATTTGTTTTTCTTGCCTAAATGTAGAACCTTGCTTTTTTCACCATTGAATTTCATTGTGTTAGTTAGTGCCCAGTGTTCAAGTCTGTCCAGATCCTTCTGTATCTGAAGCCTGTCTTCTGGAGTGTTGGCTATTCCTGCCAGCTTGGTGTCATCTGCAAATTTGATGAGTTCCCCATCTATCCCTTCATCCAAATCGTTGATGAAGATGTTGAAGAGTACTGGCCCAGAACAGAGCCCTGGGGCACCCCACTACACACTTCCCTCCATATAGATGCAGTTCCATTGAGAACCACTCGCTGAGTACGGCCGGTCAGCCAGCTCCGGATCCATCTGGTGGTGGTTCTGTCTACCCCACATTTTTCTATCTTGTCAAGTAGTAGGTTGTGATCTACTTTATCAAATGCCTTACTGACGTCCAAGTAAATTATGTCCACAGCATTCCTCTGATCCACTAATTTTGTCACTTGGTCAAAGAATGCAATAAGATTTGTCTGGCATGATCTATTTTTGACAAACCCATGTTGGCTTTTAGTAATGACTTGGTTTGCATCTAGGTGTTCGTTGATTCGTTGTTTGATTATCTTTTCCAGGATCTTCCCAGGTATTGAGGTCAGGCTGATAGGTCTGTAATTTCCTGGATCCATTTTTTTTCCTTTTTTGAGGATGGGAACTACATCAGCTCTTTTCCAGTCCTCTGGTAGTTCCCCTGTGTTCCAGGATCTGTGAAAAATATAGTTCAGTGGCTCCGATATCACATCTGCCAGTTCCTTGAGAACTCTGGGGTGTAATCCGTCTGGTCCTGGCGATTTGAACTCATCTATGCTGGACAGGTGCTCACTAACGATTTTCTTGCCTATCTTAACTTGTGTTTCTGTTTTGTTTTTTGTGGCACTATTTTTGATAGGTTGGTCTGTTTTTTCCCTTTGTGTAAAGACAGATGCAAAAAAATGAGTTAAATAGTTCTGCTTTCTCCCTGTTGCTTGTCACCTTCTTGCCACTTCCACCCACTAATGGACCAATCATTTCCTTCACTTTTTTCTTGTTTTTTACATGTTGAAAGAAGCTTTTTTTTTGTTATTTTTGACTTTGGTCGCAAGCCTCAGTTCATTTTGAGCCTTGGCTTTCTTCACTTCATCTTTGCAGGCTCGGGCTATTTGCTGATATTCTGACTTAGTTATGTTCCCCTCTTTCCACTTCTATACTTGTCCTTTTTATCTTTCAATTTGTCAGAGAGTTCTTTATGCAGCCATGTTGGTTTCTTTTGAGAGCTGTTATTTTTCCTCTTTGTTGGTATTGTGCTAGACTGTGCTTTTATTATCTCATTTTTCAAAATTTCCCAAGCTTCTTGAGTTGTTTTCCCCTTGAGGATTCTCATCCATGGAATCCTTCCCAAGCCCTCTCTAAGTTTATTGAAATTAGCTCTCTTGAAGTCCAAGACTCTAGTTTAAGTCCACAAGTCATGAAGGGGGCCATCCAGCCATACTGGCTCAGGAATTCTGGGAGTAGAAGTTCACAAGTCATGAAGGGGGCCGGCCATCCAGCCATATTGGCTCAGGAATTCTGGGAGTTGAAGTCCACAAGTCATGAAGGGGGCCATCCAGCCATACTGGCTCAGGAATTCTGGGAGTCGAAGTCCACAAGTCATAAAGAGGCCATCATTCCACACCCGTCCTCAGAGGTCCACATCATTGGTAGGAACTGAAGCCTCCACATCACAGAGTAACCAAACCCATCAGAATACAGTCAGCCAGCTGAGATTTTTATTGGGTGGAATTTAATACCACTGAGTTATTTACAATCCAGAGAGGAGCTTTTCCGTGTCTAAAGCCGTTTTCTCCGGGGACAAGAAAGGTGGGCTTCACTTCGGTCAGGCAGGAAAGGGTCAGGGGCTCCCACTGAATCTTGGCGGCAGGCCACCCCTGAATCCGGGGAAGGGGCTGCTTTTTCCAGTCATCTGCAAGGAAAAGCGGACACAGGGAAAAATGAGGACGCCATCTCTGTTTACAGGCAGGTCCTCCACTTACGACCACAGTTGAGCCTGGAATTTAGGTTGCTAAATGAGAAATTTACTGCCCTCACATCGCGAGGAGGGGGGGGAGGGATTTTCCAGGAGGGAAGGGATGCATTGCAGAGGAATAAGAGGCAATGTAGACCGGATCGTATGTGTGAGAGAAAGAGGGTGAAGGCAGGCCCTCCCTAACAGTTCCCAGAGAATATTGTAGATTCAGATCGTACTTCATTTTGGCAAGATTCCGTCTAGAGGTGTGGAACAATACAGGTAATCCTGGACTCACAACCACAATACACCCTCCCAATTTCTGTGGCTAAGCGAGACAATGATGAAGGGAGTTTCCCCTCTTCCCCCCCTGCCTTTCTTGCCATAATTTGTTAAGTGAATCGCCGCAATTGTTAAGATAGTCACACGGTTGTTAAAGGAACCTGCCTTCCCCGATTGACTTTGCTTGTCGGAAGGTCGCAAAAGGAGATCACGTGATCCCGGGGACACTGCAACCGTCATAAATACGAGCCAGTTGCCGAGCCTCTGAATTTTGATCACGTGCAGCAACGGTCGTTAAGTGTGAAAAACAGTCCTACGTCACTTTTTTCAGGGCCACGGTCACTAAATGAACCGTTGTCAGGAAAGGACTAGCTGTATCGGCAAGATTAAAGCCAACGGTTAGGATTTGTCGCCACGGCCCATCCCCCACACACGAGTCCCCTCAAACATGGCCCTTTGATGACTTGTGGACTTCAACTCCCAGAATTCCTCAGCCAGCCATGTTGGCTGAGGAATTCTGGGAGTTGAAGTCCACAAGTCATCAAAGGGCCAAGTTGGAAGACCCCTGTATTAAATCTAACAAAATGGAGGCTGGCTGAGGAATTCTGGGAGTTGAAGTCCACAAGTCATAAAAGGGCCAAGTTTGAAGACCCCTGCCTTAAATCTAACAAACAAAATGGAGGCTGGCTGAGGAATTCTGGGAGTTGAAGTCCACAAGTCATAAAAGGGCCCAGTTTGAAGACCCCTGCTATAACCATTAAGAGGCCACATCTTACCTAATCTGGAATGAAGGTGTAACTGGGGATACAACCTTTGCAAACGCCTCTCGGCGTAATTTTTGGAAAAATGGGCTTCGCCTTTGAAATCCTTCTTGTTGGTAAACCTGCTTCAAAGAAGAGATACGTTTCTTGAGAACCAGGCAATCTTTTTTTGCACCATCAGCAATCACACTTTGGGCCACCGAGCTGCGTCATGCGGCTAACCAAAGATTTGCTAAAAAGGTTTTTTTAAAAAAATAAAAATAAAAAAATAAAATTAAAATAAATCCCCCTATCTCAAATTTCTGCCCAGAAAAAAGCACTTGTGGAGATGAAGCAGCTCCTTCTTAAGAATAATTATGGGAATGTATTGAAAAGAGAAGAAAAAAAATTAAGAATTATTTCCCAGAGTAAATGTCTGCTATGGAGATTCTCAGCCATCCAGGTCATCGTTGTCCCAAAGACGTGTTTTTTTTTTCAAAAGTCACCTGGACTTTGTTTTTCCTTGAAGATGTTTCACTTCTCATCCAAGAAGCTTCTTCAGTTCTGACCGAATGGTGGAAGATGGAAGGATTTATAATCCTTGCAGTCATCTGGTCGTTTAGTATTCTTCCTGAGAATTGTTGAAGCCACTTGGAGGTTTATCTATGCGCTCAGGGTCACCCGGATAGTGCAAATGGGTGTAGAGCCTTCTGTGATGACCCAGGGCACAGGACAGAGGCAATGCAGTCAGCTGGCAATTCAAACCGCCCTTTAATTGCTCTAAATTTTCCCCAAATGCTCCCACGTTTCTGGCCAGCCTCCAAACAAAGGAAGACATACACACACCTTCAGCCGCCTCTGGCTGCAAGCAGTTTCACATACAGTCTGATTAGGAGAGGAATTTACTCAAGGCCACGGAGATATGAAAGAATGACACATACATAGCTTTTTTTCTCATAGAACGCCCAGAACGGAGTTCCGGCACCTTTTTTGGGATGGAACCTTGTAGAGTAGGCAAGGCGGGTTGTATGACGTGTGTGAGTTCCGGCACCTTTTTTTTTTTTTTTTAGGAAAAAAGCACCGGACACATACATCATAAACCTAATGAGTCTGTGTGAATACAGTTTCTGCCTGAGCAGTTTCAAAAGGGAAGCCAAAATACAGTCCGAGATCTTTGAGCATCCAAGCAACGTTGTCAGCCAGTCCAATGGTCCGAGTTTCCGGGTTTCCAAGCAGAAGTCACAGAACAAGAGATCAGCAACAACACACACACAAAACTCCAAGGAATCAGCGTTTGTTCCCGACAAATGCCTCTCCCCACAGCATCTTCTTAAATCTCACTCTCCAGGTGTGCCTTGTGGAGAAGGGCGGGACGCTCTCCACCCGAGTCGCTGAGCCTGCCTGCGTTGTTCCCTCCTTCTCTCCACTCTCCGTTCTCTAGGATCAGGTGGGGGTGACCCTTGCTCATTGCCTGAACTCTGCCTCTTCTGTTCCTCCTGTCCCAATCCTGAAGGGTCCTGGCTTGCCTCGGCCTGCTCTTCCCCACCTTCCTCTGAAGCCCCAGACCCCTCTCCCGCGGCCTCCGTAGGGTCCCGTTCCAGCTCATTTTACTTTGATGGAGGGACGACGACTTCTTGGAACTGCTGACAGGACTGTATTGTTGTATCCCACCCCCCTCTGTTGAGGGAGGGCTGTTCAGTCTTAATGTAGATGACCTCTTTGACCCCCCCCCCTTCAAATCATGGGTCCTCTCTGCCCAGAATGTGGACTTTGCCGTCTTCAAAAGAGAGCACGGATAAACTTCCAAGCGGGCTCAGTAACTCTCAGGAAGAGTACTAACGACCGGATGACTTTGCTTGTCCAGAGGTAGCAAAAAGGGGATACCGTGCCCCCCGGGGACGCTACCACCATCATAAATATGAGTCAGTCGCCAAGCCTCTGGATTTTGATCCCGTGACCCCCGGGGAGGCTTACAACGGGTCGTTAAGTGTGAAACTAGGATCCTAAGTCCTTCTTTTTCGGGCCCGTTGCAACTTCAAAGAGTTGGCCGAAATGGCATAGGGTTTCCTGCCTGAGCAGGGGGTTGGACTAGATGCCCTCCAAGGTCCCTTCCAACTTTATTATTGTTGTTGTTGTTGTTATTGTTACTAAGAGAAACTTGAAGGGCTCAGCTCGGAAGAATCACCCGTGGTCGCTCTTGATTTGGGGCCCCACATTTCTAAAGCTGCTTTAGCAGGGAAGAAAAACCATGAGGCACAGCCTGTCAGAGTCGGTACCTGAGCTGGTCAGGAATTTTCAGCTTTTTGATTTCCATCCCAGGGCCTTCCTTGGATGAGCCCCCCACCGGGGGCAAGCCACGAGGTGTTTGATCCCGGAAGCTCTGCAGGAAAGGCTGGGTGGGAAAAGAAGACCGTCAGTGCCCTCGTGAAGTTGGGGAGGGTCCCTTGGATACAGCCAGTCCTCAACTTACGACCGTTACTGAGCCCGGAATTACGGTCATTAAGTTGGGCTGGTCATTAAGCGAGTCAGCTGTGGCGGTGCCCAGTTTTACCACCTTTTCAGTGGCGGTCGTTAATCGAATCCATTGTCCACAATGGGCTATATTTTTCCGGACACTGGGATCAAATGCCAGGTTGGGGGGTGGGGGGGTGGAGTTCATACATTGTGGTCACATGACCACAGGATGCAGCCAATAGCAATACATGCAGAGTAGTTGCCGGGTACACACGATGGGATCATGTGACCAGGCGGGTGGGTGTTGCAACTTGAAATGGGAGTCTTTAAGTAGCTCCGGGAGGATCTGTCGTTAAGTTTGAACGGTCACGAAGCGACCAGTCGTAAGTCGAGGGCTGCCTGTATCTTTCCTGGCTGTGCAATATTCGCAAACACACTCGCCCCGAATCATCCCTAGTCCTTCTCTTACACTTCTGTATAGCATGCTAGGGAAAGCCCCAAACTTGTTTTTGTTCATCCAGTTTTAGGATTAAAACAGGGGGTTGGGCTAGATGACCTCTGAGGTCCCTTCCAGTTCTGCTGTTGTGTTATTCTGATTAAGTAAAGTAAAGTAAAGGATACAGCTACTCTCTGGATTCCCTCCTATTAAATGTGAGACGACATTTTTCTTTCTTTCTTTCTTTCCTTCCTTCCTTCCTTTTTTCTTTTTCTATTTTCCTTTCTTCTTTTCCTTCCTTCCTTCCTACCTACCCACTTACCTATCTTCCCCTTCCTTCCTTTCTTCCTTCCTTCCTTTTCTTCCTTCCTTTTCTTCATTCATACATACCTTCCTTCCCCTTCATTTTCTTTCATTCCTTCCTTCCTATCTACCCATCTACTTACCTATCTTCCCCTTCCTTTTCCTTCCTTCCTTTCTTCATTCCTTCCTTTTCTTCCTTCCTTCCTACCCACCTACTTACCTATCTTCCCCTTCCTTCCTTCCTTCCTTCCTTCCTTCCTTTCTTCATTCCTTCATACCTTCCTTCCCCTTCCTTTTCTTCCTTCCTTTCCCTTTTCCTTCCTCCCTCCCTCCTTTCCCATCTTTCCTTCCTTCTTCCTTTTTTCTTTTTTTATTTTCCTCTCTTCCTCTCCTTCCTTCCTACTTACCTATCTTCCCCTTCCTTCCTTCCTTTCTTCATTCCTTCATACATATCTTCCTTCCCCTTCCTTTTCTTCCTTCCTTCCTTCCTTCCTTCCTTCCTTCCTTCCTTCCTTCCTTTCCCTTTTCCTTCCTCCCTCCCTCCTTTCCCTCCCTTCCTTCCTTCCTTCCTTCCTTCCTTCCTTCCTTCCTTCCTTCCTTTTTTCTTTCTTTTACTATTTCCTCTCTTCCTCTCCTTCCTTCCTACCTACCTACCCACCTACTTACCTATCTTCTCCTTCCTTCCTTCCTTCCCTCCCTCCCTGCCTCATTTCATTCCTTCATTTCATTCATTCGCCCGTTCTTTTCCCCGTTGGGCGAAAGGGATGAGCCCCCTTACCCTCCTCAACCAGTCTTTGGGGAAGTATTGGAAAGGGGTGGCCAGGTGCGTGCCGGAGACCAGCAGAGGAAACGGGCTGTTGGTGACGATCAGCGCCGTCTTGTCCTGGTTGAATTCCGAAGACCGGAGCATGATGGCCGTCTCCCTCCGGTGCTGCTCCAAGCGGTCTTGAAAATCCGCATCGGTCAGAGGGATGAAATATTGGGTCTGGCCAGGGACAGGAAAAGTCCAGTTGTACGCAAAGTGGGGTGACACGAAAAAGCTTGAACCTTCACCCCCCTCCTTTCCTGAAAACTCAACGTGGGCCTGGTGATGGTGGTTTATATTCTCCCCCCACCACCCCCAAATTTCCATTTCTCTCCTGCTCTGATTCTACCCCATTCCTCTTTTTTTAAAAAATGTCTTATTATTATTACTTTAAGAAAATTCCATTTCTACATTGAACAGTGTGTGGTCTAGGTATACACACGCATTAAAATATAACCATCCTCACGTTCATAATAATCTTATCGAAACGCAATCGTAGACTAGGACATAGCACTCCAAATGTTAAAAATAGAATTGCCCGCATTGATATTAGTTACATAACAATCAAAGGATTCACTAACCCATTCAGAAACTTCCTGACAGAACAATTAACCAGTGGAACGACCTGCCTCCAGAAGTTGTGGGTGCTCCAACACTGGAAGTTTTGAAGAAGAGACTGGACAGCCATTTTTCTGAGGTTTCCTGCCTGAGCAGGGGGTTGGACTAGATAACCTTTAAGATCCCTTCCAACATCATCAACATCATCATCATTATGATTATGATTAAATCCTGCTCACATAATCCACATATTCTCATATTTCCAACTGTCTGACCTCTGTTTTTATCGGCTAACCATTGATAAAATAATGTCCCAGGTCATATAATATTCTGTTTCTTCTTTTTCCTTTCATTTTTAATGTTAACCTATCCATTTCTGTGCATCCCAGTATTTTTTTTTAATTATATTCTCCTCTGTAGGAGTTTCTTCATTTTTCCAAAATTGTGCACATACTAACCTAGCTACCCCATTCCTTAATCTGGTCCTGAAACCTCAGTTATCCCGTTTCCGTCATGTGGCGAGACGCCTGGACATCTTGTCCCCTTCTGAGTGATCTCTAGGGATCCTCTCTTGTTCCTCCAGCTCCGAAGACTGCATTAAACCGCTTAACCAATCAGCTCGCTTGGCCTTGGCACAGCCATTGGGAGGTGCCACCTTGGTGCACCTCACAAGGCACCTCACACCACTGAAGAAGCTTCTTAGATGAGAAGGCAAATGTTTTCAAGGAAAAAAACAACTGAGGATGTCCAGTTGCCTTTTCGAAAAAACACCTTTGGGTACCTCCACACACTAACTTTGTACAAATACAGGAGCTGGAGAGGAATTTTGAGGAACGTCAACTTTCTGTGAAGGAGGGTCGAGTTGGGACAGACATTATCTAACCAGGGTTTCTCAGCCTTGGCAACCTGAAGATGGGTGGACTTCAACTCCCAGAATACCCCAGCTATCTCAAGAACTTGAAGATGGGTGGACTTCAACTCCCAGAATTCCCCAGTTGTCTCAAGAACTTGAAGACCAGTGGACTTCAACTCCCAGAATTCACCAGCTGTCTCAAGAACCTGAAGATGGGTGGACTTCAACTCCCAGAATTCCCCAGCCGTCTCAAGGACCTGAAGATGGATGGACTTCAACTCCCAGAATTCCCCAGCTGTCTCAAGAACCTGAAGATGGGTGGACTTCAACTCCCAGAATTCACCAGCTGTCTCAAGAACTTGAAGACTAGTGGACTTCAACTCCCAGAATTCACCAGCTGTCTCAACGATTTGAAGGCCGGTGGACTTCAGCTCCCAGAATTCTCCAGCTTTCTCAAGAATGTGAAGATGGGTGGACTTCAACTCCCAGAATTCCCCAGCTCAAATTCCATGAACTCAAACTCCAACCCCTTCACAGCCATCTCAGCAACTTTAAGACCGGTGGACTTCATCTCCCAGAATTCCCCAGCCAGCACAGCTGTGCTGGCTGGGGAATTCTGGGAGTCGAAGCCACCGGTCTGAAAGTTTCCGGTATCGACAAAGATTGATTTAACCAAATTTAGTTTTTGGGAAAGGAAATCTTCTGACAGGGTTGAACTTCAGCTCTTGGGAATGACCAACGCTTTATGAGAATAACTAATTGCTGGATTTGTACCGTGCAATGCGTCTAATAAATTAAAACTTTTCCTTCTTTCAGTTAAAAAAAACAACAACATTATTATTTACCAGATTCGGATGGGGAGAGAAATGCAGCTCGTGCATCAAGAAGAAACTGCTCATCGTGCGCAAAATCAACCTGGAAATAAAATAAATCTTGTCAATATTTTTTTCCCCCAGCTTGGACAAGGTTTCAAATCCTGACATGCCGCATTCTTTTCTCAGAGGACGGGAAAATCTATTTTTCTTTTAGTGAGCAGAAAGGTGGAAATATTTTGGCACCTGGGTGAAGTTTGGGAAACTCCCAGAAACAATTTCAAATTTAAAAAAATCCAGCGCTCAGAAAAATACAGGCAGTCCTCAATTTTAGGACTGCAACGGAGCCCAAAGTTTACGTTGCTAAGGGGGAAAATTTGTTGACGTTTCTTGCATCGGTTGTTAAGTGAGTCCCTGCAGTTGTTAAACTAATAACACGGTTGTTAAGCGAATCTGGGCTTCCCCAATTGACTTTGCTCTTCAGAAGAGTCACAAAAGGGGGAATCAGGTGACTCTGGGATACTGCGACCGTCATAAATATGAGTCAGGCATCCAGATGTGAGTCACGTGACTATGGGGATGCTGCAACGGTCGTAAGGGTGAAAAACGGTCACAGGTCCCTTTTTTTTCAGTGCTGTTTGTCCGAAATGCCACAGGGTTTCCTGTTTGAGCAGTGGGTTGGGCTAGAAGACCTCCAAAGGTCCCTTACGACTCTGTTCCTGTAATTGCCATTTGTGGAACATGATCTTGAAGCCATACTGTCTGCCGTTCAGTTCTCATGTGTCATTCATGCCTTTCATTCTTTTGACCCCTTGCTTTCCTGTGTCATTAATGACATATCACCTCTTCTGGATGTATGTGGGCGCTCCGTCACTGGAGATTTTTAAGAAGAGGCTGGACAGTCACCTGTCTGAGATGGTGTAGGTTCTCCTGCTTGAGCAGAGGGTTGGACTAGAAGACCTCCAGGGTCCCTTCCAGTTCTATTCTATTCTATTCTATTCTATTCTATTCTATTCTATTCTATTCTATTCTATTCTATTCTACTCCATTCCATTCCATTCCATTCTATTCTATATTCCTATCTATTCTATTCTATTCTATTCTATTCTATTCTACTCTACTCTACTCTATTCTAATTCTATTCTATTCCATTCCATTCTATATTCTATTCTATTCCATTCCATTCCATTACATTCTATATTCCTATTCTATTCTATTCTATTCTATTCTATTCTATTCTATTCTATTCTATTCTATTAATTTTCCTTTTATTCTATTCCATATTTTCTATTATTCTATTCTATTCTATTCTAATTTTCCTTTTATTCTATTCTATTCTATTCCATATTTTCTATTCTATTCTATTCTATTCTATTCTATTCTATTCTAATTCTATTCTACTCCATTCCATTCTATATTTTCTATTCTATTCTATTCTGTTCTGTACTATTTCCATTCTATTCTATTCTATTCTGTTCTGTTCTGTTCTGTTCCATTCCATTCTATCCTATATTCCTATTCTATTCTATTCTATTCTATTCTATTCTATTCTATTCTATTCTATTCTATTCTATTCTATTCTATTCTATTCTATTCTATTAATTTTCCTTTTATTCTATTCTATTCCATATTTTCTATTATTCTATTCTATTCTATTCTGATTAATTTTCCTATTCTATTCTATTCTATATTCATCATTTGTTTCCGTACCCTATAAAAACACTCCATCTCCTAAATAAATGCTTTTTGCTCAGCCTAAATTACTTGGTAATTGAGACATTCAGCTGGGCCAGGAAGCCCCTTGGCAAAGGTTAAGTCAGTCTGTCTCTCTCTCTCTCTCTCTCTCTCTCTCTCTCTCTCTCTCTCTCTCTCTCTCTCTCTCTCTCTCTCTCTCTCTCTCTCCTCTGTCTCTCATTCAACTTTCTTATCAGCTCTGGGCCAAACTCGGCGTGTTAAACCTTAACCTCAAAACTGAAATGAGCTCACTAACCGAGCTTAGCAAAAGCTGTGCAAACTCAGCCCACGAGGCTGCAGATCAAACAGAAACACCAGTCCCAGGGGCAAAGTTCACCTGGACTGCTAAAGAATTTAGACTCTCAAGCTGGCTGAAGGAGCAGAGAACTTCAGCAGAACGAGTCCTACAGAACTTGGCAAGATTTGGAGAACTAAGGGGGAATCCACCGGCATCTCTCACCTCAATCCAAGGTCCTTCCTTTGTCGACATGAGGTGTGACACCCTCCCACACACACACACACACACACACACAACTTCTGTCTATTTTGGGGAGGGGGTTTCCGAGTCCGCCATCTGAATTTAGTTGGAGGAGCGACAGTTGGGACTGTTACAGGAAGAGTTGCGAAGTTCCACGTATGGAACAGCTCCCTTCCGCTCTGTGACACAGATTCATAGAACACAGATGCCTTGTAGGGAGGACCACAAGGATCACCAATTCAAACATCCATGAGAGGCAGCTTATTACGAGAGGAATAATAAGAGTTGAAAGGGACCTTAAAGATCTTCTAGTCCAACCCTCTGCTCAGGCAAGAAGCCCTATACCATTCCAGACAAAGGGTTGTCCAGTCTCTTCTTGAAAACTTCCAGTGTTGGAGCACCCACAACTTCTGGAGGCCAGTAGTTCCACTGGTTAATTGTTCTCACTGTCAGGGCCAAACACGAAGAACGGTTGCTGGAATTGGATATGGCTAGTCTAATGAAAAGACGGACGAGGGGGGACAGGATAGCAGTCTTCCATTATCTCAGGGGCTGCCCCAAAGAAGAGGGAGTCAAGCTGTTCTCCAAAGGGCCTGAAGGCAGGACAAGAAGTAATGGATGGAAACTCACCAAGGAGAGAAGCAACCTGGAACTAAGGAGAAATTTCCTGACAGTTAGAACAATTAACCAGTGGAACTACCTGCCTCCAGAAGCGGTGGATGCTCCAACACTGGAAGTTTTTAAGAAGAGACTGGACAGCCATTTGTCTGAAATGGTGTAGGCTTTCCTGCCTGAGCAGGGGGTTGGACTAGATGACCTCCAAGGTCCCTTCCAACTTTATTATTCTTATTATTATAAATGTGAGTCAGTTGCCAAGCATCTGAATTTTGAGCACGTGACCAACTGGTCGTACGTATGAAAATAGTCATAAGACAGCTTTTTCAAGGCCGTTGTAACTTTTAACAGTTCCTAAGCGAACGATTGTAAGTTTGCTTTTAACTAGGATCAAGAATGCGTAAAAATTGCTTCTCTGTTATCAATTGGCATGCAAAAGATTCAGATATGAACAATAACCATTCTGATTTTTTTAAAAAAAAAATTATTTGCAAGCAGAATCCTTTGACAGATGGAGTTTTTTAAAAAAAAGGGAAATCATGAGAGAAACTCAAGTTGATAAAACGGAGTTGTAGATCTGCTGAGGTTTTCTTTTTAGCTTCGACCCGGATGCAGAATGTCAATTGTCAGCTGATTGGCGTATGGACAAAATTCAGATAAGAATTCCCATTTGGCCTTAGTAATAGTAATAGTAGTAAAGTTGGAAGGGACCTTGGAGGTCATCTAGTCCAACCCCCTACTCGGGCAGGAAACCCTACACCATTTCGGACAAATGGCTGTCCAGTCTCTTCTTAAAAACTTCCAGTGTTGGAGCATTTACTGCTTCTGGAGGCAAGCTGTTCCACTGATTAATTGTTCTCACTGTCAGGAAGTTTCTCCTTAGTTCTAGGTTGCTTCTCTCCTTGATGAGTTTCCACCCGTTGCTTCTTGTCCTGCCTTCAGGTGCTTGGAAAATAGCTTAATTCCCTCTTCTTTATGGCAGCCCCTGAGATATTGGAATACTGCTATCATGTCCCCCCTTGTCCTTCTCTTCGTTAAACTAGACATACCCAATTCTATCAACCGTTCCTTATATGTTTTAGCCTCCAGTCCCCTAATCATCTTTGTTGCTCTTCTCTGTACTCTTTCTAGAGTATCAACATCTTTTTTACATCGTGGTGACCAAAACTGGATGCAGTATTCCAAGTGTGGCCTTACCAAGGCATTGAAGAGTGGTATTAATACTTCACGTGATCTTGATTCTATCCCTATGTTAATGCAGCCTAGCACTGTGTTGGCCTTTTTGGCAGCTGCAGCACACTGCTGGCTCATATTTAAGTGATTGTCTACTAGGACTCCGAGGTCCCTCTCACAGTTACTACTATTGAGCATGGTGCCACCTATGCTGTACTTGTGCATTTGTTTTTCTTGCCTAAATGTAGAACCTTGCTTTTTTCACCATTGAATTTCATTTTGTTAGTTAGTGCCCAGTGTTCAAGTCTGTCCAGATCCTTCTGTATCTGAAGCCTGTCTTCTGGAGTGTTGGCTATTCCTGCCAGTTTGGTGTCATCTGCAAATTTGATGAGTTCCCCATCTATCCCTTCATCCAAATCGTTGATGAAGATGTTGAAGAGTACTGGGCCCAGAACAGAGCCTGGGGCACCCCACTACACACTTCCCTCCATATAGATGCAGTTCCATTGAGGACCACTCGCTGAGTACGGCCGGTCAGCCAGCTACGGATCCATCTGGTGGTGGTTCTGTCTACCCCACATTTTTCTATCTTGTCAAGTAGTAGGTTGTGATCTCCTTTATCAAATGCCTTACTGAAGTCCAAGTAAATTATGTCCACAGCATTCCTCTGATCCACTAATTTTGTCACTTGGTCAAAGAATGCAATAAGATTGTCTGGCATGATCTATTTTTGACAAACCCATGTTGGCTTTTAGTAATGACTTTGTTTGCCTCTAGGTGTTCGTTGATTCGTTGTTTGATTATCTTTTCCAGGATCTTCCCAGGTATTGAGGTCCGGCTGATAGGTCTGTAACTTCCTGGATCCATTTTTTTTTCCTTTTTTGAGGATGGGAACTACATCAGCTCTTTTCCAGTCCTCTGGTAGTTCCCCTGTGTTCCAGGATCTTTGAAAAATATAGTTCAGTGGCTCCGATATCACATCTGCCAGTTCCTTGAGAACTCTGGGGTGTAATCCGTCTGGTCCTTGAATTACTTTGGAAAGGAACTTTGAAAATCCCTGTTCTGACACTGTGTTTGTCCACCCAGAATAAACAGGACAATATTTGTCCTAGCAACCATCTCCACATTATTTGTATTTTGCTGTCTGGAAGAGAAGATTTTGACATCTGCCTGCAAGAATTTTGCACTGGCGAAGCACAGCTGCTCATCGAACTGACTTTCCTAAGAATTTCCCCTGAAATGTTTACGGGACTTTTAGCAAATTATTCTTCATGGTTCTCGTTTCGTTCTCATCCTTCCCAGTTAAAATTTTTAACAGGGGTTCTTTGAAACAAAGATGATTAGGGGACTGGAGGCTAAAACCTATAAGGAACGGTTGCTGGAATTGGGCATGTCTAGTTTAACGGACCCCTTTATGGATTACTGCCTTGTCGTGGCGAAGGGGCTTGCGTAACTCAATGAAGCTATAAGCTATGCCGTGCAGGGCCACCCAAGACGGACAGGTTATAGCAGAGAGTTCTGACAAAATGTGATCCACTGGAGAAGGAAATGGCAAACCACTCCAGTATCTTTGCCATGAAAACCCCATGGACAGTACTAAAAGGAAAAAAGATATGACGCTGGAAGATGAGCCCCTCAGGTCGGAAGGTGTCCAATATGCTACTGGGGAAGAGCAGAGGGCTAGTACTAGTAGCGCCAGAAAGAATGAAGCGACTGGGCCAAAGCCGAAAGGACGCTCAGCTGTGGATATATCTGGTGGTGAAAGGAAAGTCCGATGCTGTAAAGATTTTTTCTCCATAGGAACCTGGAATGTAAGATCCATGAATCAAGGCAAGCTAGACGTAGTCAAAAAAGAGATGACAAGACTGAACATCGACATCTTAGGAATCAGCGAACTAAAATGGACAGGAATGGGTGAATTTAACTCAGATGACCATCAGGTATACTACTGTGGGCAAGAATCCCTCAGAAGAAATGGAGTAGCCTTCATAGTCAATAAAAGAATAGGAAAAGCAATACTGGGATACAATCCCCAAAATGACAGAATGATCTCAATTCGAATCCAAGGCAAACCATTCAATATCACAGTAGTCCAAATCTATGCCCCAACCACTGGTGCTGAAGAGGATGAAATTGACCGGTTCTATGAAGCCCTACAGCACCTTATAGAATTAACACCAAAAAATGATGTCCTTATCATCATGGGGGATTGGAATGCTAAGGTAGGAAGCCAAAAGATAACCGGAATAACAGGCAAGTTTGGCCTTGGAGTACAAAATGAAGCAGGGCACAGGCTAATAGAATTTTGTCAAGAGAATACGATGGTCATAACAAACACTCTTTTCCAACAACCCAAGAGACGGCTCTACACATGGACATCACCAGACGGTCAACATAGAAATCAGATTGACTATGTACTCTGCAGCCAAAGATGGAGAAGCTCTATACAGTCAGTAAAAACAAGACCAGGAGCTGACTGTGGCTCAGATCATGAGCTTCTCGTTGCAAAATTTAGGCTTAAATTGAAAAAAGTAGGGAAAAGCACTAGGCCACTCAGGTATGAACTAAATCATATTCCTGATGAATATACAGTAGAGGTGACAAATAGATTTAAGGAACTGGATCTGATAGACAGAATGCCTGAAGAACTATGGATGGAAGTTCGCAACATTGTACAAGAGGTAGCAACTAAAACCATCCCAAAGAAAAAGAAATGCAAGAAAGCAAAATGGCTGTCTCAGGAAGCTTTGCAAATAGCTGAGGAAAGAAGGGAAGCGAAAGGCAAAGGAGAAAGAGAAAGATACACCCAATTGAATGCAGAATTCCAGAGAGTAGCTAGAAGAGATAAGAATGCCTTCTTAAATGAACAGTGCAAAGAAATAGAAGAAAACAACAGAACAGGGAGGACCAGAGATCTCTTCAAGAAAATTGGAGATATGAAGGGAACGTTTCATGCAAAGATGGGCATGATAAAGGACCAAAATGGCAGAGACCTAACAGAGGCAGAAGAGATTAAGAAGAGATGGCAAAACTACACAGAAGAACTATACAAGAATGAGCTTAACATCCCAGATAACCACAATGAGATGGTCATTGACCTCGAACCAGACATCCTAGAATGTGAAGTGAAATGGGCCTTAGAAAATCTGAGCAACAACAAAGCTAGTGGAGGTGACAGTATTCCAGCTGAGCTATTCAAAATCTTAAAAGAAGATGCAGTAAAAGTGCTACACTCAATTTGCCAGCAAATTTGGAAAACTCAACAGTGGCCACAGGATTGGAAAAGGTCAGTTTACATTCCAATTCCAAAGAAAGGCAATGCCAAAGAATGTTCAAACTATCGCACCATTGCACTCATTTCACATGCTAGTAAAGTTATGCTTAAAATCCTACAAGCTAGACTCCAGCAGTATGTGGATCGAGAACTACCAGAAGTACAGGCAGGATTTCGAAGAGGCAGAGGAACTAGAGATCAAATTGCCAACATACGCTGGATCATGGAGAAAGCTAGGGAGTTCCAGAAAAACATCTACTTCTGCTTCATTGACTATGCAAAAGCCTTTGATTGTGTGGATCACAACAAATTGTGGCAAGTTCTTAAAGAGATGGGAGTACCAGACCATCTCATTTGTCTCTTGAGAAACCTATATGCGGGTCAAGAAGCAACAGTGAGAACCGAACACGGAACCACTGATTGGTTCAAAATTGGAAAAGGAGTCCGGCAAGGCTGTATACTGTCGCCCTGCCTATTTAACTTATATGCAGAGCACATCATGAGAAAGGCAGGGCTAGATGAATCAAAAGTTGGAATTAAGATTGCCGGGAGAAATATCAACAACCTAAGATATGCAGATGATACCACTCTAATGGCAGAAAGTGAAGAGGAACTAAAGAGCCTCTTGATGCGGGTGAAGAAGGAGAGTGCAAAAGTTGGCTTGAAACTCAACATTAAGAAAACCAAAATCATGGCATCCGGCCCTCTCAATTCCTGGCAAATAGATGGGGAAGAAATGGAGGTAGTGACAGATTTTATTTTTCTGGGCTCCAAGATCACCTCAGATGGAGACTGCAGCCAAGAAATTAAAAGACGCTTGCTCCTGGGGAGGAAAGCTATGGCAAATCTAGACAGCATTCTAAAAAGCAGAGACATCACCCTGCCAACAAAAGTGCGCATAGTCCAGGCCATGATTTTCCCAGTTGCAATGTATGGCTGTGAAAGTTGGACCATAAGAAAGGCTGAGCGCAAAAGAATTGAGGCCTTTGAACTGTGGTGCTGGAGAAGACTCCTGCGAGTCCCTTGGACTGCAAGGCGTTCAAACCGGTCGGTCCTAGAAGAGATCAACCCCGACTGCTCTTTAGAAGGCCAGATCCTGAAGTTGAAACTCAAGTACTTTGGCCACCTAATGAGAAGGAAGGATTCACTGGAGAAGAGCCTAATGCTGGGAAAGATTGAGGGCAATAGAAGAAGGGGACGACAGAGAATGAGATGGCTGGATGGAGTCTCTGAAGCAGTAGGTGTGAATTTAAATGGACTCCAGAAGATGGTAGAGGACAGGAAGACCTGGAGGAATGTTGTCCATGGGGTCGCGATGGGTCGGACACGACTTCGCAATTAACAACAACAACAACAACAAGTTTAACGGAGAGAAGGACAAGGGGGGACATGAGAGCAGCCTTCCAGTATCTCAGGGGCTGCCCCAAAGAAGAGGGAGTCAAGCTGGAAGTTTTTAAGAAGAGACTGGACAGCCATTTGTCCGAAATGGTGTAGGCTTTCCTGCCTGAGCAGGGGGTTGGACTAGATGACCTCCAAGGTCCCTTCCAACTTTATTATTCTTATTATTATAAATGTGAGTCACTTGCCAAGCATCTGAATTTTGATCACGTGACCAACTGGTCATAAGTATGAAAACAGTTATAAGACACCTTTTTCAAGGCCGTCGTAACTTTAAACAGTTACAGAATGCTCCAACACTGGAGGTTTTTAAGAAGAGACTGGACAGCCATTTGTCCGAAATGGTGTAGGCTTTCCTGCCTGAGCAGGGGGTTGGACTAGATGACCTCCAAGGTCCCTTCCAACTTTACTACTATTACTATTACTAAATATCTGCTTTTTGTATTTTTACTGGTGGAAGATGTTCTGAGTTAGGAAAGCTTTAGGTCAGGGGTCCTGTAGCCCCGGCCCATGGACCGGTACCGGGCCCAGCAACCGGTCCACACAAACAAGCAAAGCCCCATCTGCAACATGCAGGCAGCACACAAAACAACGTACCCTCCGGTCCACGGAAAAAAACCTCTATCCACGGAACCGGTCCCTGGGGCCCAAATGTTTGCTTTAGGTAACAATTTTAGGGAGGAACCCAATTGAGAGGTGCATTGCAGCATCCCCGTGGTCACGTGATCCAAATTCAGAGACTCTAGGCAACTGACTCATACTTACGACGGTCGCAGCGTCCCGGGATCACGTGATCCCCTTGTGTGACTTTCTGACAAGCCAAGTCCATGGGGGAAAAGCCCAATTCACTTGCCAGCTGTGTTAATAAATAATCAAGGGCGGGGATTCACTTAGTAACCGTGTCAAGAAAAGTCGCAAAACAGGGCAAAAATCACTTAACAATTGTCTCGCTTAGCAACGGAGTCCTCGCGGGCTCTCTTGAGCTTGGTGGAGAGTGAAGAGGAGAAAAGGAGGGAGGGAGGGAGGGAGGGAGGGAGGGAGGGAGGGAGGAAGAAAGAAAGAAAGAAAGAAAGAAAGAAAGAAAGAAAGAAAGAAAGAAAGAAAGAAAGAAAGAAAGAAAGAAAGAAAGAAAGAAAGAAAGAAAGAAAGAAAGAAAAGGACTATGGAGTCCTTGGTGCTCTCTGAGCTGGGTGGCTTTCTTGTAGACATCTCATGACCCAACTAGGGAACAGCATCAGTTCTAGAACAGAGTGGGCTCCAGGTTTATATACAATAGTTTGCCTGTTTTCCTGCCTTCCTTGGCAGTTCCTTGATCAGGCTATTTGTTTTCCACTTGACCCTTTCATTGGGTGTTAATCACAATTACTACTACTACTACTATTACTACTAATAATAATAATAGTAATAATATTAGTAATAATAATAATGATAATAGTAGTAATAATAATAATCCCAAAACAATTGGAGCACCACTTGAACATCACTGGCATTGACAAATTCTCTATTAGTCAATTGCAAAAAGCGGCCTTACTAGGAACTGCTTCCATCCTGCGACGATATCTGTAATACCATCAAACATCCACATCTGCCTATCCCAGATCCTGAGTAAGGACTCGATAGGTAGACAAAATGCCAAATCCAGTCTGAACATCTGGCTGACTGTGCGATGATCCATAATAGTAATAATAATAATAATAATAATAATAATAATAATAATAATAATAATAATAATAATAATAATAATAATAATAAGAAGAAGAAGAAGAAGAAGAAGAAGAAGAAGAAGAAGAAGAAGAAGAAGAAGAAGAAGAAGAAGAAGAAGAAGAAGAAGAAGAGCTAAAAAATAAACAAAAAAAGACCAGAAGCCATCCTCTCTAGCCCGCAGCACCCAGATAACCTCTACACCGTTCGTGTGAACAGGGCAAGTTCCCCTTCTGGTTCCCAGGAAGGCGACAGCATTCAGCTGACTCGGAAGGGCAAATCGGGTCGCGCTCCGCCGGCTGGGAACCTTCCCTCGGCTTACGGAGCGGCTGATCGTCGAGGCAGTCCGCGGGAGCGCAAGCCACCCAACCCCGAGCAGACTCTGCACGCGTGATTAGCCCCGCGTGCAAACGGGCGGTCGTCTGAACCCAGCGCCAGGCGACCCTCCCTCGCCCCCTTGGCAATCCCCGCCCAGTGGCCCGGGCGCAGCCTTCCCCAACCTGGCGCCCGCTGCAAAGGCGCGAGCTCAGAGACCCGCCGCCCCTCCGCCAAAGGGGATCCCCTCCCGCGCCTGCCTGCGCGCAATCCCCGCCCAGCCCGCGGGCGCAAAGCGAAAGAGAAAGCGGAGCTCCGCCGCGCCTCCCCGCCTCCGCCGCCGCCGCTGCTCCTGCGTGCACCGCCGGGCCATGTTGCGCTGCGCTCCGCCCGGAGGAGCCGCTGCGCCCCATCCAGACGCCTTTTGCGCAGCCGGCTGTGGGCTGCCCGGCCGCCGGCTGCTCCTGCTGCTCTTGCTGGGGCTGTTCCTGGACGGGGACGCCGCCTCCCCCGCTGCCGCTGCCTCGGACCTCGGCATGGGTAAGTGGCGCTCCGGGGCGTGTGCAGAGGACTGGCGCAGTCTCTCGAACCCCGAACCGGTCCGAGCCACCCGGCGCCGTTTCCCTGCCAGCTGCCGGGCGGAGCGGAGGAGCGGCCGGCCGGTTGGAGCTGATCCAGCTGGGCGTTTTACAACCTCTCGGACGCTTGGACTATGTCCTTACCTGGCGGGTTGGGAGCACAGGTGTGTGATACCTGGAGAGGCCAGGTAGGAACACAAGAGCTCCAGGATCGGTGGTTCTCGACTTACAACCGTTCAGTTACCGGCCCTGGGGGGGGGGGGAAAAGGTGATGTATGCCAGGTCCTCACACTTACAACCATCCCCACAATGTCGTGCGATCCAAAGTCCCATGCTTCCCAGCTGCCGTGTATTCCCAGGCGGTCCCAGCATGCCAGGCTCGTGTGGCAAAAAAGGTCGTAAAATGGGGCGGGCAAAACTCTCCTTAACAAATGTTTCGCTTAGCAAGAGAAATTTGGGAGTCCATCGTGGTCGTAAGTGGAGGACTACTTGAACTAATGGCCTGACTGACATCCTTTTAAAACTAATCTAGATTTAAAACTGTGTCGTGGTTTGGTAAATTAGTAATCCCTATTTGCCTTGATCTGGATTCTGCCTTCTCTTGATGTTCTTCAAGATATCTATATATCTATATCTATACCTAGATAGATAGATAGATAGATAGATAGATAGATAGATAGATAGATAGATAGATAGATAGAATATAGACAGATAGATAGATAGATAGATAGATAGATAGATAGATAGATAGATACTCAGAAAAACACTTTTATTAAGCACTAAAGATTTGTAACTATAAAAACTATAAAAATAAAATACAAATCTATCTATCTATCTATATTATATCTATACTATATCTATATCTAGATAGATAGATAGATAGATAGATAGATAGATAGATAGATAGATAGATAGATAGATAGATAGATTTGTATTTTATTAAGTTTTTATAGTTACAAATCTTTAGTGCTTAATAAACAACGTGTTTTTCTGGGTTCACACATTTAACATTAATAGTAATTCAGCTTCCATTTCTACTCTCTATTCCGCTTTTCTAGCCATTGATAAAAATTACCCCGTTTGAAAATACTCTGTATCTTCCTTTCCTTTCGTTTTCAAGGTGAGCCTATTATCCATTTCCGCATAATCCAATTTTTTTCCTAATTATAATCTTCTTCCGACGGTGTTTCTTCATTTTTCCAATGTTGTGCAAATGTAATATTAAATATATACATTTGTTGTCATAGTTCTCTGTAATTATAGCTAGAAGAAATGCTTCTGGCTTAAAATCGACATGTTTTCTTAACATTTTCTGTACCCACATGTGTATTTTTGACCATTGTTTAAATTATTTTTATTTTTTACACCCAGGTCCTTTTTTTCTAACGTGCTGTTCACACGCCAGATTTCTTTATCCTGTCCAGGTCATATTGTTCTTTTCTTCCCAAGATGCGTGATTAACATTCTTCCCTCTTAAATTTCCCTATGTCCATTTCCCCCCTCCCTTCTGGCCTAACCCTGTTTGAATATTTTTCATTCTTTTCCCGGATATAAATCACTGCTCCAAAATTTGTATCCCTTGCATGCACTTGGCCAGCCTTCTCTCCTTCTCAGGATCCTTTAGAAAAAAAAACTGGAACAAAAATAAAAATATCTAGAGTGGACTTCTGGGTTTCCTTGTGACCTACTATACTTTTGCACCTGGTTGGTGTTCATTGCTCAGTAATAAGCATGTCGTTTTGGGACTTGGTGGTTTTCTTGCAGATGTTTCGTGACCCAACTAGGGAACATCATCAGTTCCAGAAGGGAGGGGGATTTGCAAGGGGGGGGAGGAGGAGGAGGAGGAGAACTATGGGGTCCTTGATGCTCTCTGAGCCTGGTGGTTTTCTTGCAGATGTTTCGTGACCCAACTAGGGAACATCATCATAGAAAGAGTACAGAGAAGAGCAACAAAGATGATTAGGGGACTGGAGGCTAAAAGATATAAGGAATGGTTGCTGGAATTGGGTATGTCTAGTTTAACGAAGAGAAGGACAAGGGGGGACATGATAGCAGTATTCCATTATCTCAGGGGCTGCCCCAAAGAAGAGGGAGTCAAGCTCTTCTCCAAAGCACCTGAAGGCAGGACAAGAAGCAACAGGTGGAAACTAATCAAGGAGAGAAGCAAACTAGAACTAAGGAGAAACTTCCTGACAGTGAGAACAATTAACCAGTGGAACAACCTGCCTCCAGAAGCGGTGAATGCTCAAACACTGGAAGTTTTTAAGAAGAGACTGGACAGCCATTTGTCCAAAATGGTGTAGGGTTTCCTACCTGAGCAGGGAGTTGGACTAGATGACCTCCAAGGTCCCTTCCAACTTTACTATTATTATTATTATGGATCATCGCACAGTCAGCCAGATATTCAGACTGGATTTGGCCTTTTTTTCTACCTATCGAGTCCTTACCCAGGACCTGGGATAGGCAGAGGTGGATGTTTGATGGTATTACAGATCTTGTCGCAGGATGGAAGCAGTTCCTAGTAAGGCCGCCTTTTGCAATTGACTAATAGCGAATTTGTCAATGTATTATTATTATTATTATTATTATTATTATTATTATTATTATTATTATTATTATCAGTTCTAGAAGGGAGGGGGATTTGCAAGGAGGAGGAGGAGGAGGAGGAGGAGAACTGTGGGGTTCTTGGTGCTCTCTGAGCCTGGTGGTTTTCTTGCAGATGTTTTGTGACCCAACCTCATCAGTGTCAGAATGGATTTATTCTCTGTTTATGTATAAGCCTGATGATGCTACCTAGTTGGGTCATGAAACGTCTTCAAGGAAACAATCAAACTTAGAGAGCAACAACCCAACAACCCTCGTCTTCCTCCTCCTGTTCCTCTCTGCAAAACCTACTCCCTAGGCTGCTGGCTGGGGAATTCTGGGAGTTGAAGTCCACAGGTCTTAAAGTTGCCAAGGTCGGACCCCCCCCCCTCAACTGGATTAGCTCTTAGGAAGAACATCTTGAGCAGAAGAGACGGCCAATCAGTGGTTCCTTTCCCTTCTGTGTTTTTTTTTCTTCTTCTCCAAACTGGGGCTGGTTAATCATCTGTATTAGGGATGGTGTAGTAACTTGTAGCGGGATGGGCTTGATGACCTCTTAGTTCCCTTCCAGTTCTATGATCCCTGAATGAAATGCACCAAGGCAAAGCCACAGCTTTCACCAGAGGTGCTCCTCAATTTCATTTAGTGACCGTTCAAAATTGCCACAGGACCGAAACGGGGACTTGTGGCCAGTTCTCCCACTTACGACCGCTGCAGCCATCCCCAGGATCTCGTGATCAAACGCTTGGCAACTGACTCATATTTACGACGGTTTGCCCTGTCCCGGGGTGACAGGATCCTCTTTGGCCACTTTCTGACAAGCAACTTCAATAAGGGAGCCCGATTCACTTAACAACCGGAGCAAGGAAGGTCGTAAAAGGGCCCCAAACTCACAACCCCCCACCATTGGGCTCAATTGTGGTCCGTAAAACGAGGACTATCTGTATTAAATGCCTGGCCGGGCTTCCTTTTCAAACTAATCCAGAGTTGAAAATATGTTCTGGGCTTTGCTAATGATTGGACGTCATCTTGAAAATTCAGACCGTGTTCAGGAGCCCGAGATGACAACATTAATTAATATTCAAGTTCTGGAACATTCTTCCACATTTTGGGCTGGGCAAAAGTTTGTCTAATCAAGTTCTCCTTTTTATCTTTATCTTTTTTTTCTCTCTGAGGGAGATGGGTGGATTGAAAAAATGTGGGAAAAAAACGTAAAGAAATAAATCTTGCCAATATTTGAGGAGCTGCCACAGAGAAGGAAGGGGTCAGTCTCTTCTGCAAAACCCAGGAAGGCAGGAGAAGAAGCAACGGATGGAAATTGATCAAGGAGAGAAGCAACCTGGAATTAAGGAGAAATTTCCTGACAGTAAGAACAATTAACCAGTGGAACAGCCTGCCTCCAGAAGTTGTGGGTGCTTTAACACTGGAGGTCTTTAAAAAAGGACTAGGCCAGGGCTAGGCAACCTTGGCTCTTTTATGACTGGTGGATTCAATTCCCAGAATTCCTGAGCCAGCCATGCTGAGGGGAAAGGAGAGGTTTCCAAGCTGAGCCATGCTGGCTCAGGAATTCTGGGAGTTGGTCCACAAATCATGAGGGGGCCATAGTTCCCCCATGCTGGCTGAGGAATTCTGGGAGTTGAAGTCCACGAGTCATGAGGGGGCCATAGTTCCCCCATGCTGGCTCAGGAATTCTGGGAGTTGGTCCACAAATCATGAGGGGGCCATAGTTCCCCCATGCTGGCTGAGGAATTCTGGGAGTTGAAGTCCACGAGTCATGAGGGGCCATAGAGCTGAATTCTGGGAGTTGAAGTCCACGAGTCATGAGGGGGGTTCCCCATGCTGGCTCAGGAATTCTGGGAGTTGAAGTCCACGAGTCGGCTCAGGAATTCTGGGAGTTGAAGTCCACGAGTCATGAGGGGGCCATAATTTCCCCCATGCTGGCTCAGGAATTCTGGGAGTTGAAGTCCACAAGTCATGAGGGGGCCATAGTTCCCCCATGCTGGCTGAAGAATTCTGGGAGTTGAAGTCCATGAGTCATAAAAGAGCCAAGGTTGCCTACCCCTGGACTAGACAGTCACTTGTCTGAAATGATATAGGGTCTCCTGCTTGAGCAGGGGGTTGGACTAGAAGACCTCCAAGGTCCCTATGATTCTATTAGGGAGGGAGGGAGGGAGGGACTGGACAGCCACCTATCTGGAATGGTAGATGGTCTCCTGCTTGAGCAGGGGGTTGGGCTAGAAGACCTCTAAGGCCCCTTTCAACCCTCTTATTCTCTTATGTTGAATCCTATCCTGCCTTTGGTCCAATAGCTCCCTCTGGTGCAGGGGTTCTCAACCTTGGCAACTTTAAGCTGGCTGAGGAATTCTGGGAGTTGAAGTC